ACGGCGGCCATATTGGATTTTGTTGACGTGTCTTATGTAAGTAATATCGCACTTAATTTTCATGGAAATAAATTGTTTTTTGCATGCATCTTGGCACACAATAGATCTACAAATATGTGTGATGAATTTTTCCTAAACGTTCTAGAACATTTTTAATGATTTTTTTCCCTGAGGTAGTATTCACGTTAGAAAAAAATCAGTGAAATCCACACTCCAAACGCCACAAACAAAAATCTATTCCATATTCTATATAATAAAAATTCATCGCACGAATCTTTAGTATAAGGCCTACATCTTTTCTTCTTTCTGTGAACATATTATGAACATTGGATGAATAATGGTGGAATTATTAAAAGAAGTATAGAAAAAACAACGTTTCGGGAAAACGGCGATAAAGAAAAATAAAAGTTTGACTTTATGAGGAAATGGTGGTTGACAAACATGCCCGGTATGGGAAGAAATAAGGCTTTAGGGGGTTCTATGCGATGAAATAGTTGTAAGAGAGGCTGAAGAAGCTAAAAATGCCTACAACTCAAAAAACATAGTTTTTTAAAAGCCAAATTGGGATGTTCGGGGTGTAGCTCTCCCCACCCCCCACCCCCTCCCCACTTCAACCTACCATCATTTTGCTTGATAAGAACTAGACTTAAGAATCAGTTATAATTACCCTTCTGCGTCAGCTGTGTACCCCGTTGCTGTTTTCGAGCAGGAAGAAAGAATTCCGGTAAACCGCACTCAGGTGTTCTTGATTATAGAGCCCTTCCTTAGAAAGCGGAGAGCAACCCTATGCACTCGAATATATAAAAAAGTAGTTAAAACACAGCTTAACCCTATCCGTACGTCGTGTTTTATTATCGTATCCAAACGACGTGGGGAACTCTGTGCCACCACTTTCCAAAAGGGGAATTTACTCGTTAATCCGATCCGTAAGCTTTGCATAGCAGTCTGTCAAAATGATTTTTTCAGAGATACTGAAAGTTTCAAAAGAGATCTTCGTTCTAGAAGTATTTTAAAATGTGACGAATACAACCCTGGGGATACAAAATGACCCCAGGGTGTACGGATAGGGTTTAAAAAAAAGACCAAAATCTACTAAATGAATTTGGGGAGAGAGAAAAAATATCACAGTTACTTTTCCGACTTGCGTCGAAAGAAATCATTAACTCTTTCTGGTCCACCAGTTGGCAAACTTTCTTTATACATTATAGACATATGCTGATACCGTTTAGCCCAGAAAGGGTTAACCTTATTTAAATGTTGGAAAATGGAATCTTTTTCGAAAAAAAAGCGCCTTTCTTTGCAACCAAAGTCCCATCCGACGAGACAAGGGATATGGAAAGATTCGCGACAAGATATAAATGAAATAAAGCAATTTTACACACTAACAAAGACACACTTGCAGACAAATACTCACACACACACACACAACAAAGTAACTAATATACACTCAAAGTCACTAACTTTCACAATACCACTTCACATGATAATATGCTCACAGATTTCACCCGCAGGCAAAATTACTTGCAATAAGATAACGGCACACGCGCATAGAGAAAGAGAGAGAGGTTGGTGGGA